CCATCCTCAAATTCTATCAGTAATAAGCTTACAGTGGCCTGTGGCAATAATACCTCACCAGTCAAGCTAGCAGCCTTAAAACGGGGGATGAGAGACACTGGAGCTGTGGCATCCCCATATTAAAATCAATGGCTGGATTGGGCCCATTTCAGGTAAAAGATTAAGAGATTAGATATAAACCAGACCAATCTACAGAGCATACCAGCTAACAAACATATTATTTAGAGATGTTTAAATTTCTAAATTATAGAAAAGCCAAACTATGTCTTTCAAATCAATTAAGATAAAATCTTATTTGAAGCTGGCCTCCTCTCCCTTCCTCAGGCTGCTTTTCCCATAAAATCCAAAATGAAAAGGTCTCCAATTAAGAAAACATTTTCTGTTGTGCTGAATTCATGTTACCGCACTGTGAGCTCTGACATTTTGTTTCTGTGGTAACCAAAATCAGCTGATTAGTTGGCATGGCAACAGAAAAGATGTAATCCCGGCAGACACACTCTAATCAATGCCCCCAGCACAGATGGTCTCTGGAGGATCAACAAGAAAGAGGCTGGCAGGCATTCAGGAGATCACGTGGCAACTCTAGACTAGGCCAGGGGGAAAAAAGGAAAGAAAACTAAAAAAAGAACATTTCTCAAACTAACCAGTAGCTTTTTAACCCTTTCCTTGTCTTGGTTCATTGTCAAATACTCAGCAACTTGCACCACTGGAAAAAAATGGCCTCATTTTAGCTTTTTTTTTAACAGCACAAAATGTAATTCTTACAAAATCATAAATTCTTCTCTGACAGTAAGTTTTTATTGCTGAGAGCTTCTCATAACTGCCAAAAATCCTTACTTGATATATGGTTTGTATAAATGCATAAAAGTAATGTGTTCCTTTACTTTTTATAAAGTAAGGGAACATAAATTGATCCTTGATGTTGTGTCCAAGATTAAGAGGTACACTGTTGAATGTACAGGAAGGGAAAGTGTGCACACAGGCTATTATTACCATTTTAACAGCACATATCACTATAAAGAATATTTATGTGAGGCTATAAGAAAATTTAGGAATTACTAATATTAACAAAACTAATTCTGCCATTCCATCAAATGTGTAGCACTGGTATAGCTAGAAAGAGGCAAGAGGGAAGCAGGGATCACGGGATGGATCTTCATCTCACTTTTGCTTCTTCCAAACAGGCTCTGCAGGGCTTTTGATTGTTTTGGAAGTTTGCACAACCTGTTAGACCAGAAGTAGTGGCAGATTTGAAATGTTGCATATACTCTGAGAAGCAATGAGGGAAGAATGGAAATTGTAGGCCAAATTTTATGAATCATTCTGCACCCCTGAAAGGGCACCTCATTTGCAAATCTTTCCAGCGGCTTTGAACGGGTATACAAAATAGGGATTGTTAACACAGTTACCTTGGCAGCAGGAATCCGCTCCCTTTCCCCTAACACCCATTAGGGCAGGTGAGTGGCTTTTCTGTCCTCAGTGATGTCATCATATCCAACAGGACATCTGGTGCCATGTCTCTAACACTGCACCACACACTTGGAGAGGAATGGGATTGTGCCTGTCAGGCCAAGCCCTGACATCTGTTTGTCTCCGATCTCTGCCCAAGGGTGCCAGGGAGAAAGAGTCCCTGCATCTGTTTCCACCTTCTGACTAATGAGCAGCATGTTTGGGCACAGTCAGCTGGCATAAGTCTGCCCCCCTGACCTATGTGGTGGGACAAGGCTTATATAATTCATTAGATGGGGCTGCATAACGGAGAGAAAAGGTATTCTCAAAATGGTGCCAAATGTAGCAACAGGACTGCTCATAGAAGGAAAAATCTCAAAGGCACAGGACTAGAGGCTCTCTCTGAAACTGGTTTTCCATACTCTTGAAAAAGCGAAACATAAAAATACCTGAAAAATACCAGTGAATATGAATGAAGCCATGCTTCTTTTTCAGCTCTCTTAAAACACATTGCCTATTTCCAAGGCACAGAAGAGCAGAATTTGGATTGTTCTGTGAAGGCTGCCATGGGCAGCTCCCATTCAATTCAAAGTAACTTGAACAAGAGGAAAAACTCCCAGGCAATTGTACTCCTGGACCTTTATCACAACAGGCTGGGTTGGATGAGGGGATGTCGTCTGCACAGGAGAAATGTGAAAAAATCCACAGTAACACAAGTAAAAACTATTGCTATGAAATCTAATACAATGTCCTACTCCGTAGAGAAGTTGCTAAGATCAACCACAGCAAATTTCCTAAACACTTTGGATCAGAAAGACTTACACCTAAAATCCAATTTAAATTGGTTGCTATTTCCTATACAAAAGGCAGCATGTTGACCTGTTAAGAACATCATGATTTAACTATTTTTCATTTATTAATTAGTTAGGTGGGTTTTCCCACCTAACTCGGTTAGGTTAGGTTAGGTTAGGTTAGGGTTTTCCCACCTAACTCTGATGGGGAACAAAAATATCTAAAGTGAGAACTGTAACAAAAAACCATAGCTATACAATAAACAAAACATAACAAAATACAACAGAATACTTTAGAAAATTACTATATCACCATATCAGAAGCCAGGAAAAGTCCTTAAGAATGAAAAGATCTTCTTTGCTGAGGGAAAGAGGAAAACTGAGGGAAAGAGGTGGCATGATGGGTTCCCTGGGAATGGTGTTAGAAAAGGTCCTCACTATTATGGAAATAATCCTGCCAAAACTATTTTCATTTCAGTGGAGGGGATAGCATAAAACAGGCTATTGTCTCCTGACCTCCAGGCACATAGAGGTCCAAATAGATGCAGGTTTTGCAAATAATGATGGTGGTGGTGATGATGATGATGATGATGAGTAACTGGTCCATAATCTTGAATATCTTGTTGTTCATTTTGGAAATAAAACATGAAAGTAACAAAGGTGAATCAACAGTCATGTTTCAGAGCTAAGGTCCAGCAGACCTGAAGACTGCAATGGGAAACTGCAGGTTTGCGGAGGGACCAGCCAGGCAGTCCTCCTTTGTGAATTACCAGCACTCAAACCAAATTCCAAAGTGCCAAGAAATTGCAACGACCAGCCTCAGCAACTGGAGCTATAGCAACTTATTGTTTTGCTAGGAGCTGCCAGAGACAGCTATAGCACTGATGGCATGTAAAGAGTCATCACAACTTCCCCTCTCCCTGCTTTGCACAAGTCCCTCCTGTACATGGGGTGGGGTGGGGTGGGGGAGGAAAGCTAGTTTAATTTACCTGTATATGTAGCTGCCTTTAGTTGCAGTGGGGAATTTCAGTTTGACCAGTGTATATAGCCTTAAAACACCTGGGCTCTTCTGGCCTTAGAGATGGCAAAGCTAAAGGACTTCCCCTTTTGATATAAACTTGAGAGGAAGCTCCATGATAACACTGAGGCAGGATAAATGGAACTGCTCATTTAGGTAGTTCAGGCCTGCAAACCCTGTGACCAGCCAAGCTCAACTCAACCCTCCTGCCATGGGTTGTGGCCTAACAGCTGCATAACAATTCCCACTTTTGCAGTCTCAGGCAGGCTGGAAAAACAGGATGCTTACTGAGTCTGCTATGGCCGCCATGCATGGCTCCATGCACCAGCCCCTACCATCATGTAGAGAGCCAGTGTGGAATAGTGGTTAGAGGGCAGGACTGGGACTCGGACAATCTGGGTTCTAGGCTCTCCACTGAAGTGAAGTCTAGTCTCTCCAGTGAAGTCAACTGGATGACTTTCAGCCTGTTGCTACATTGAAGGACTGTTGTGAGATAAAAATTGAGAGGAAGATAACATTGTAAGCTTCCTTGAGTTTCTTACAAGAGGAAAAAAGGCAGGATATAAATGTAACAATATATAAATGGAAGTAGCTGTTTGCTTTATTTATTAGAGGTCATTAGAGGCAACTGAGGGCTTTAAGAATAAAGATTCTGTGGAAGATAAGGATTCTTATGAAGGTGATATCTGCCATGTAAGGGGTATTTGTGTGTTCCAAAAAGGGTTGAATTACATGGTAACTTCTGAATCACAAAGTCACATAACAAATGTGGAGAATCTACAACTCCAATCATCCCTGAAAATTGCTCCTGCTGGCAGGAATTGATGGATTTGGAATCCAACATCCAACACCCCTGCCACAGTCTTGCACATTTTGTCTGCATGTTGATTCTAATTTCTCTAGACTGAGAAGTTCCTTTATAGCAGAGTGGACAAACTGCAGTCCTCCAAAGCCTCTTTTGCAGCCCTTCGAGACCCTGCCAGTATCCCGCAGCTCACCTCCATCTCTTTGCAACTCCAGAATGCCATCTCTTCAACCCCTTTCCTGCTTCTGGGGAAACACTCTTGGAACAGAGTGTTTCCCCAGAAGGGAGTGTACAAGAGGAATCATATGGCCTTGTGAAAGCAGCTCCCAGAATAGCGTTCTTAAAAAGGAGAGGAAAGGAGACTTGAGTTGGGAACTAGAAAAAGCTGGGGAAAACTATGTATCCATCTGGTAGTGGGGAGAAGTATATGAAAAGTTCATGTATATGAAGGTGTGATTGCTTATGTGGGAAGAAGAGAGCATATGTTTGCTTCTATTACATGGGAGGACAGGACAGACCTTTATCAGGTTGGTGCTCTAATTTGCATGGAAGAGAGCAAAGGTCAGTTGCCCCCAAGTTAATATAACACATGAGCCGGGCCTTATCTGTATATGTGTGGAGATCCAATACATGTGATTCTTCCCTTTGCCACATGAGTTGGAGCAACAGTCTGGTAGGTATGTGAACTATGCTGATGTATAGCAATCTATGTTTCTGTTAATTTAAATATATTTATCAAAAAGAAGTAATAGTGCCTTCTCCCAGTTTGTGGCTGATGATCAAGAAACTAGGCATGGAATAAAACAGGCAGTTTTTAAAAACTGAAATTAAGATCTCAAGAATCACTTCCACCATCTACGGGAAAACAATAGTTATACTCTGAAAAAGATTTCGAAAACCCAGCAATTGCATGTTTCACATTAATCTTTCCTATTACCTTTGTAAACATAGGTTTTCCATGTTGAGTTACCATGGTGCATTGATCACAGTCGACTGTGATGGAGGAGTTGTGGTATGATTCTTTTGAGTGCTTGAGGATGTAATACAGGTCTGTCACACCTCCTTCAAAGACAGTGCTAAAATAACGAGGAATGAGGGTTCTTCCAATTGCTGTTGGGAGAATACAAAGCAAATGAGCAAATGCTACCAGAAAGAATACCTTAAGCTGTTTAGAGTTGTCTACTAGAACAACAGTAACTTTAGAACAAGCTTAACATGGATTCCAATGAAGGGCTGTTAATCGCTGTATCTACTTTGGTTTTGTTGCAGCAGTGAGATCCAAGCACTACACAAAGGGCTCTTTCCTTCCCACATTTCCACCACATAACTTCTAGGCAGAGCTGTGCTATAATGAAATATCTCAAAGGTGCACAGAGAAACAGGACCATTTTCCTTGTTCTTATATAATACCTCATGTTCCCCATTCTAATAAAAACCCAGGAAAGTGCACTGAAAAAAGTAGAAGTGAAACTGGAGGCTCACAATATCTTTTAAGAAGCGTATAAGCAACTGAGGCTAAGGAATCACAAGCCTCACATAGAAAAGCACAAAACTGATTAAGAAACAAGACAGTCTTTCACTGGATCTGGCCTTTTATTCATGAAGATATCATATTGTCAAGTGAGGAATTGCCCTTCACATGGTTTGGAGATTATTGTGTGAAAATAAGACCAGCAATAACATGCTGCGTTATGGAATATTCCTGTCAGCCAGCCATGCTCTTTCCTACAATAGTCCATTCCACTCCTCTTCCCTGTTTCCAGTTCTGTAACCCAAGAGTCAGTCAGCATTCCATGGCCACTGATAATCTTTAGCCCTTGCTGGGCTATTTTAGTGTTTCATCCTCACCTTATTTTCTAAATATTTTTGTGGTTCTTAAAAACTTGGGATTTCCCCAAACCCACAGCTACTTCCATGTACAGATGGTGCCATTTGGTTTGATAAGGATCCAAAGGAGAACAGTTTGTTGTTAGTACATAATATTTACAATCTTACCAAGGCATAAACAAGCTTTGACTTAATCTAGATTAAAACTTCTAGTATTTATCAGGATAGCCAAGCCTCATAGTTGACCTTGGGTATCATGACTTTTACAGAACAATCTTACACATGGACATCTCCCTATGTTTAATGATAATTAACGCAGGACACATATGCAAAGGACTAGCTCAGTACCTCCACTGGAAGAGATATCTTCTCAGGGTAGAAACCAGAATAAAGGAGGCATGCTGTTTTCTGGTTGTCTTGAGGCTTTTTGCAGTTTGCATCACTTTCCATGCCCACAAGGCCCCACCATGGGAATCAAACGTAGCTACACTCTCCTGTAGACTTTCCAGGTACTGGCTGTCCCTCACCAAAAGTCTCTAAGCTGCAGCCCTATCCTATTGGGTCCCATCTCCTAACCAGCTGAGTCTCAGGGGCTCAGCCCTTTTTCATAAACAAGCATGAAAGATGGGGTTATATGCAATGTTAGTCTAATGTAAATCCTATTGATTTCAAAGGGTCTATTCTAAGTCAGCCTAATGTGAGATACAGTTCTATATTTAACAGTATGGAGAGATGTAACATTTGTTTGAAGCCTCACAACTGAACAGATGAGATTTCTTTTTAAAACGTTAAATAGTCCAAAATTAGTATTCCACATTATATTACTGTTCATGAATATGCCCACATGGAATATAAGGGTCTGTTATTATGCACTACAGAACAAGTAGAGCTTTTAAGAAGCAAGCGACATGGAAATCTCCTGAAATTCTATACATGAAGCAATGGCTATACAAGGAGTGAGAGCTCCTCATCATGGAGCATGTGTGACTGAGAACAAACAATGTGCAGCACAGAACTCGAACTGCTCCTTCAAGCAATGGGACACATTTTCATCTCACACAAATTATAAGGTGCTTTAAATGTTTACCTCCGCACAAACTTAACATGCTTACTTTGTATTTAAAATGATTACATTTATTATCTCATTAGGATGCAGCCAAAATTTGTGAAATTAACAGTGATATGGTGCTAGCATAAGTATTATTTAGCATATATCAAATTGATTTAAATATTTAATGAGGTAAAGAAATAAAGCAAACCCTCAAATAATTTATATTATTATTTTCAGTGTTTTGCCATGCTTGATTATAAGCTTAAAAGAGATAGTTCTAAAAATAAGAACTGTTCTGCTGCATGGATCATTTGCACTGTATGAACTGAGGGGTTACAACACACTACAATGATAATACCAAGCCATAATATACTTATAGTGCTGGAATACATCCAAAGATCATCTAGCTCACACAGCAGGATTGTCCAGGCATTAAACACCCTGCGCCCTGGAAGTCACTGCCTCACTCTGCAGGTACCATGCATGGGGATTCCAAAGGAAGTGATTTCTCTGCTGACCAGGCTTAACCAGCCAGAGGAACTGAAGTTCTGTGCCAGAACAGGCATTACCTTACATCCCTACATCTTTTTTTACTCTACTGCAGGTGCAGGGAGCCTGATCCACATCGTACAAAAAAAAAGCCCAAACAAATCCACCCCTCCAAGGAAGATTCCAATCCAGATTTACTTCCTATACTGACTCTAGATTTTCTCTTTTTTTAAGTAATACGGATTTGAAGTAATGTCTCTTTCAGCCCTGTGACTCTGCTTCCACAGACAGGAGTTAAATGTTTGCACCGAAGGCTCATCACTTCTCAGGAAGACTGGGGGTGCACCTGCAACAGGGCTCAGCTTCTAGCCAAACTAAATTAAAATTAAATTAAAACGTTATTTTAATTGTTAATATTATTTATTTATTTTATTCTTGGCCAGGTCGACTCAAATTGTATTGTTTTTATATTGTTTTTATTTATTTATTATTGTGAGCTGCCCCGAGGCTTCGGCGAATGGGGCGGCATAGAAGCCTCCTAAATAAATGAATAAAATAAATAGCCAGGGCTCTGTTTCCTGGGACCCCTGATAGCCCCTAGATGAGAGGCAGAGCTCTGGGAGCTCCTCAGGCCTGCTCTGCTATTCAGGTGCTCAGCAGCTGTGCTCATTCAAGGCTGGATTCTACACAAACCAACACAACCTAAAATTTAGTGGGATTTGACAGAAGAGCATGCCAGGAATTCTTTATATTCTCCTGAAGCATGTGGCCTTCTGGGATAGATATGAAAATTCCATTGCCAGAAAATGGCAGGGAGTGATGGGAGCTGTAGTCCAACACTTGTTGGAGGATCACAGATATGTGGAGGATCCCACACCTGCCCTAATGCATTCTGATTAGGGCTTAAGCATGGCAGGCAAAGACAAGCAGGGCTGCCAACCAACCAGAGACAAGCAAAAACAAAATAAACTGAATTGGCCACGTTTTATTCTGCTTTGTTTTTGATCTAGTTGCCAAAAAAAGCAAGGAACAAAGTGGTTTCCCTTCAAGCATTTTTATTTACCATACACCTTACATGAACAAACAGCTTTTGTGCTGGGTTCTGTCCCTGGAACTACATAAATGAATTATTTCATTACTGACAGCTTCTCATACCCACTTTTCAACCTGAAGGCTATCATAGCAGTTAACAATAATTTAAAAGTAATATTTTAAAGCCATTTAGTGATAACTTAGATGATATGGTAAATGGTATATAAATTGATTAAATACTTCTTTAAAAGTACAATAAACTAGCAATTTACAATAGAATAAAAATGAACAGAGCCAGTGCCAAATTAGGTCAAAGCACAATCTACAAAGTTTAAAGATGTTGGACAGAGTACAAGGTCTTCAGACTGGTAAGACTTCAAAGTCAGCACCATGTCAGTCTCCCCAGAGAGAACTATTCAATGCCAGAGCACCCGAGAAGACCCTTTTTCAGGACACCACCCATCTTACCTTCAAAGCCAGAGACTCAAGTGGAAGACCTCTAAGGGTGGACTAAATCCAGGGAGATGGCCATGGTCCTAAGCCATTTTTGGTGTTAAAGGTTAAAACCATCCTTTTGAGTTGGGGCTGGAAACTGACTGGTGCAGTTGCTCCATTTGCCCATGTCCCAGTCAACAGTCTAGCTTTTATATTTTGCAAAAACTGAAGTTAACATGAGGTTTTCAAAGGTGGAACAATGTGCAACACACTGCAGATGTCTACTCTAGAGAGGACCAGGGTATGGTTACCTCTGATCTCTGCAATATCTATCCAAGAAGAGAAACAGCCTCAGCTTCTTCAAATGCTTTGTGCCATGGGTGACACTTGCATCTTCAAACACATGGACAGAACAGGACTCCCCTCCAGTCCAAACTGGAAAGGAGTAAACTCCTATTCAGAACAGGCTGAACAACCCACCCAGATTTTCTCCATCTTTATTTAGTGGCCTTTATTCAGTGCATTTCTGGTTTTGGCCACTAGTTTTGTTTGTCTAAACTTGATATAATAGAAAAATAGAATTGGGTGTCATCAGCATATTTATGAGACTTCATTTCAAATGCACATCTGGAAAAATGTATTCAGCAGTTTCACCATGAAAAAAAGTTTCACAGTTGTTAGAAGAGGAACAAAATAGAAACTGCAGCACCCCATTGTTTGCCTACCATAGGAAAAAGCAGTAGTCCAAAGCACCGGCCTCTGGAAAAGGCCATGAAAACAGGAATAGCACTACAAGGCTATCATGCGACTGGTTTCCATTTTGACAATTGGGCCAGAAAGATACTAGGATCAATAGCATTGCACTAGGTGGGAATTATGCAGTCTAACGCATCTGGAGGGTGCTAAGTTGGGAAAGGCTGGTGCAGGTTTCAAGGCCAAATCCAGGCCAGGAACAAGTCTGAAATAGTGAATCCAACACAGAGATCTCCACCTCTAAATCTTCCCCAAACTCCTCATTGTAATCCCTGAATGGTCCCCCAAATCACTTCTGAATCAGCTCAAAATTACTTCCCATTTTACCCCTGGGTTTCTCTGAGCTCCCCTTCAGTTCTCATACGGCATTGTCTTCACAAAAAGACAGCTAGGTACATAGCAATGGCACTACAGCAACACAGAGGAAGGAAGAGCAGCTGTGGGGCACAATCAGACATTTCTCCAGAACTATGCATAAATAGTAAGCTGTAACTTTCAAGGCACTACACTGATTATCATTCTT